CTTCTCCTTCTCCTTCTCCTTCTCCTTCTCCTTCTCCTTCTCCTTCTCCTTCTCCTTCTCCTTCTCCTTCTCCTTCTCCTTCTCCTTCTCCTTCTCCTTCTCCTTCTCCTTCTTCTTCTTCTTCTTTTGGTTTTTCGAGACAGGATTTCTCTGTGTAGCCCCGGCTGTCCTGGAACTCAGTCGGTAGACCAGGCTGGCCTCGAACTCAGAAATCCGCCTGCCTCTGCCTCCCAAGTGCTGGGATTAAAGGCCTGCGCCACCACTGCCCGGCCTGTGTTGCTTCTTAATTCATTTTGATTTTACTTTGTTCTTATTAAGGAAGATTTCTTTAAGCAATTTTGAGTTGCTTTTTATGATGGACATTTGGATGTGTTTGGTTCAGAAAAAGTTTCTAAAGATACCTGACTAAATTCTCTCCAGTCTTTTCCTACTTCTCTTTTTTCCTTGGAAATGTTTTAGCAGTGTGAGGAAAGGTTATATGGCCAACACAGGGCCTGATCTGTTTTGCTCCTGGATAATTATGTGATGTGTTCCTTAGGGACGACCTGGCCCAGCTGCCCTTCCTGACCATGTGCATCAAGGAGAGTCTGCGGCTGCACCCCCCAGTCACGGTCATCTCCCGTCGTTGTACCCAAGACATCGAGCTCCCAGATGGCCGAGTCATCCCTAAAGGTGCCCACGGGACAGGGAAGGAAGGCGTGCTGGACACATAGCAAGGCTTATTCAGCAGCAAGCTTACCCTCCTGGCCCTGCTTCATACAGGTGTCATCTGCATCATCAATATTTTCGCGACCCATCACAACCCAACTGTATGGCCCGACCCCGAGGTGCTGTAGCCACATTCTCCCAGTCTTTTTCATCACAACGATCCTAGAGGAGGGAGCAGTTTTGGGCTGGGGAAATCAGAACTTACCGACCCTAGCACATATGGGATTCTGTCTCTGGCTGTTCTAGGAGATGCCACTCACTGTCTCTTTCAGGTCTATGACCCCTTCCGCTTTGACCCAGAGAATATCAAGGACAGGTCACCTCTGGCTTTCATTCCCTTCTCCGCTGGGCCCAGGTAATGCCAGGAGGCTTGAGATGGTGGGGCAAAGGTTTAGGCAAGATGGAAAGGACGGAAAGTTGAGACAGTAAGGATCCGGACTTCCTTCCTGCATCTTGGCAGGTTAAGAGGTACAGAGCAAGGCATGGGGAAGTCCAAGAACCACAACCCTGAACTAATGTGCTCATGTGAGTTGGGCTCTGAGGTTTGACTGAGTTCACCGGATCCAGAATGTGTCACGAAGGGCGTCCCAAATAAGTTAGTTCCCCCTGTGTGCCCTCCAGTTGGCTGACTAGTGGGGGAGGGTACCTAGGCCAGATTGAAGGGTGGGTCCTGTAAGGGACTGAAGTCACAGTCAGAGTCCCCACCCCATCCTTCCGCAGGAACTGCATAGGACAGACTTTCGCCATGAACGAGATGAAGGTGGCACTGGCACTGACACTGCTGCGCTTCCGCGTCCTGCCAGATGACAAGGAGCCGCGCCGGAAGCCGGAGCTGATCCTGCGCGCGGAGGGCGGGCTGTGGCTGCGGGTGGAGCCGCTGAGCACACAGTGACTCCCTGCATCTGGACGGGTCCCACCCACCCGCATGCCTCTGCAGATGTCACCTGTACCAGAGGCTCGCCAAATACCAGTAGGGGGCGCTGGAGAACAAGAGTGAACCCGCAGTAGTGGTGGGGCGGGAGATGGAGTTGATGTCCTTCGGCCCAGACCCCTGACTTCATCTGTCCGTTCATAGGCCTCTACGTTGTCCTTTAGCCTAGTTGGACTTACTCTCTTGGGCAATAGGGAGCTAAGGGGAAGTGCTTAGGCAGGATAGACGCCAGGCTCGAGCTCAGAGAACCTTTTAAGTTGAGGTACATTTCCATCACCTTGACCTCCATTCTAATCTCAAAACTCTCATTCTGGGATTCTTCAGTGTTTCTGTGAAAACTGAAATTTTAGGATTATTAAACCTAACAAGTCTGCCATTTGTTGCTGGGTTTATTTTGTTTGGTTTGGTCTGCTTTGATTTTTTTTTTTTTGTTTTGATTTTGAATAGTCTCACTACACTGCCGTGGGTGCTCTCAAATTCCTATTCCCACCCACCCACCCAATTGCTGATGCCTCATTTTATTATTTTTTTCTATCATTCCTTTTTTTCTTTTATCTTTTATAGTTTTTTCATACAATGTATTCTGATTGTGATTTCCTTACCCCTATTCCTTCCCACTTTTCCTCCTCCCATCCAGACCTAAGCCCTCTCCATCTCATTAGAAAACAAAGAGGTATATAATAGTACAACACAGTACAACACAATAAAACAAAAACAGACAAATCAGGATAGGACAAAACAACCAAATAAGAAAAAGAGCAGAAAAAATAGCACAAGAAACACACACACACTAATGCCTTTAAAAAAACATGAAACTGGAAGCCATAATATATTTACAAATGACTTGTAAGGAAAGAAAAGAATGCCGTGACTTAACATTATGAGACAAAGAACCTTCAAAGATGCTGTAGAGTTCCTTTTATGTTGGAAAAAATATGAGATAAAGAATATCCAAAGATTCTACTAAGTTCCTTTGGTGTTGGCTATCTACTGCTGGGCCTGAGGCCTGCCCATGAGAGTGGTTTGTTCCCCCAGTGAGTCTAAACTTTTAGTCTTAAAGGGTCTTCCAAACAGCTGGGGCTAAAGCATGTAGGGCACTGTATCCCTTAGCTGCTATGTATCATTGAGGACAAGGGAGATGGGAATGCTGGGTGATTGTTTGAGAATTGAGCAATCATCTATTCCCCCTGGTAGGGAAACAAGGACAGACCAAGCCTCACATAGAAAACAAGTGAGATTGTCAACACTACTTACAAAGGATAGAGAAAAGGCTACTTACAGAAGCACAGAGGACGCAAAGGCAGCTATTTCACAGAAAAACCCACCCTGCTTGTGACATACTGGTGCTCCTTATAAACTCTTCTCTCTCTCTCTCTCTCTCTCTCTCTCTCTCTCTCTCTCTCTCTCTCTCTCATTCCTTACTACTTATATAATGTCAATCTTGTAATTTTTAGGGGTTTCCTGACATTTGTGAGGTGTTTGTTGGGGGTCTGGAATTGCCACTCAAACCAAATACTGATTTCAGTTAAGTAAGAGTAGTTTGTTGAACACATTCCTTAATGCTGGATGTCCAGGACCACAAAAAGGACTTGGGACCCTAATTGTAGTACTAATCTGCTCTCAGGGTAGGCTTTTTAAAAGAAAAAAAAAAGGTTCAAAAGTTTAAAGTTCCAGGAGGGGAGTAGTTGGCTTACTAGGCAAAGTATTATCAGTTTACCTTTAAGCCGATTGGTCCTGAGTAAGGTAAGTTGGGTGGTGGATGGGTGGTGAACAGGGGAATTTCAGAACATTGAGATAACAGAGCATGAGTATTATAATCATAACTTGTCTTATTAGTAGCATTCTTCAGTGTCAGCCACAAAAACCACAGTGAGTTCATGCGTAGGTGCAGGAAGGGCTACCCAGTGGTCAGCTCTGACTCAAGATATTTTAGACATAACATATTGACCTTTGATTTGATGGGTCCTATGTAAAGCTTTGTGGAATTTCTTAAGATTAGCATACCTCATACAGAACATTCAGAACATACAGAACAAAGCAGTACTATGTGGTTGAGCCAAGTCCCTTCTCTGTGTCAGTGACTGGCAGGCATGTTACAGCAGCAATATGAAATAGCTGGCAGGCTCAGAACAAAATGGCTACAGCTATTCTGGGTGAGTGGTGAGGGCCAGACTCTAACAATGTTTACTTTCTGAGCCTTTTGAATTTTGTTTACTTCTTAAGTCTTAAAGCCTCTCTCTAGACTCAAATGTTTTAGTTTGATATATATATCAAATAAGCCTTATGCCCATAGCAAGCATTGACACTCATGGAGGACCACACCCTGATGGCTCTGCTCAAGAGACAGGAACCATTCCTGCCGTGGCCAAGCCAGACTCGGCACTATACAACAGTAGTGTACGTCATGGGAAACACTCTTCAGAACTATCATTATACCTGGACTCCCCTTCTGTGCTATAGGAATCTGAAGACCTTCAGGTCACAGAGTTCAAGTCTTTCAGCAGATTACGTATTGGTGGATAACTGGGATTATTGTCATCTATAATAAGAAAGTGATTAAGCATGCTGACAGTTGAGGGGATCCACACAGGTGTCTAGGCAGGGAAGCAAACATGTGAAGAGATGAGAATGAAACTTGGTTCATACTGACTTCAACCTGCATCACACTGCAGGAGTCTGATGCCAGGTGTTCATTGTCAGCATATTTAAAACACAATTGTATTTGGGAAAAAGTTTCCAGGTAACACTCATTCCTATTCCAGCTGTACAATAAAACTTAACAGGTGATTACTTAAAAGCTCCTTTACCAAGTACATGTGACCATGAGGGTGGGTTCTATAGTTTAAAAGCCTAGAATATAGTGTCATCTCTGACAGATAGCATAGAGGTCAGCAGGCTATAAAATACATGTGATATCTGTCCTAAAGATGTGTTTAACTTCTAGAGAAGGAGAGTCTAGGATAAACATTCTGGGTAATTTAGGTGAGGTCTGCCTCTATAGCAAAAGGTGTGTGAGGTCTGCTTCCACAGCAAAAAGATCACCAGACTATTAACAATATTTACTCCTCGATTTCTAGGCAGGAAAACAGGTACTTTATCTCCTCCATTGTGACAGGCCCCTGTATATTTGACATTCATGGTTCCCTTGTGGTCAGTGGGTGCAAGGACCTTTGTGCCTTCAACAAACTGCTGTTGTAGAGCACCCAGATTTGGTTTCCAGCATTCAGTTGGGAGCTCATAACTCTCTATAATTCCAGTTCCAGGGGATCTGATTCTCCTTTCTGGATTCTGAAGGCACTGCATGCATGTGACACACATGCATACTATAGCCCAGTCTAGACTCTAAACAGGATTTCATGTATCTTAGTGGAATCCAACCAACTCATGGAGAAGTATATACTAGGCACTGACCAAATCCTGTACCTGTAATAATAATCCTAATTTCTGTTTACTGCCCCCTCCCCCAGCTAAGCACCATGACATGTTCTTGTCCTCCACTGAATCTAATGGGCAATTGCTATTGTTATCTTCAGTCACATAGACTCTTGCCCCTGAAATTCAGTTGTCATAGTTTCCTGAAGGGACCACTTTACTTCACAGTCCTACTTATGGCTCTTCCCTCTTATTTCCTAATTGAATCTATGATCTTCCCATCCGGTGAAATCTCAGACTCTTCATAATGGCTCCAAGCAGTGCTGCCGTTTTCGGTACCACTTACTTTCTTACCTCCTACTTTCTAAGTCTTTCTCACTTCTTCATCTCATCTCCTTCAAGATGACTCATTTTTCTCATTTTTGGGTCATTGGTTTCTTTCACAGGCTTCTCTGTTAGCTGTTGCTATGTTGTCTTGTTAATCCCAAAGTTGCAAGCAAAAGACCATTGATTCAAATCAACATGGCTAAATTACTTAAAGCAAGCAATTAATTAAAGCATGCTCCTTTTAATTTACGTATACAAGCTGTCTCCCCCTATGGTGGGATTCAAGATGTCAGCATTGGCTGTGGACAAGATAAGGGTTCTAAATCTCAGGGGTAGGGGGTTTCTGAATGGGAGATTTGGCAGACAGAATTAAAAAACAGAATATAAGCATAGCAAGTTAGTTATAATGGCCTTCTGAAACAAAAATATGATTGCAAGATGGTCATGAGGTAATCACAACAATAGTTGGTCATAACCACGGGTGGTCATAATGACTGTGTGAAACAAAGACATGACTGCCATTCCTGGAGCTGGAAGTTCCAAACTATTTGTAGTTAAGGTTGCAGATGGGACAATCATAAGCAGGAATGAACCTCATTTGTTTTTACTATAAGATGACTTTCAAACCCAATATGAAAGCAGGCTGGTTCATCAGTCTTCCTAAATCATGCATCCTTAATTAAAGGATTGCTGTGTTACAAAGGATTGTAGCTGCTACATTTTTGGGAAGTTTGTCTTCAAACTAGACTGCCTTGCCCTATCACTGATCAATAACTTCATTTCAGTACTGGATCTCTGCTGGGTTCTTTTGGCTGTGTTTCTTTCGGTTTTCTTTTGCTCATGCTTTCCTTACTGTTCCCGTCAGCTGGGGATGACAGAGCTCACAAGACATTTCTAAGATATAGACATTGCAGTAGAGTATATGACTTTTTTTCTAGAACACCTTCAATATCTCAAAGGGTAGTAGGCAGATCCTCACTTGAGATCTTCACAGCGAGAAGGCCATGTCTGGTTTGTTTGTTTGTTTGTTTGTTTGTTTGTTTGGATTAATGACTCATTGAGTTTTATTAGAATTGCTCTGGTGAACATGGATATGGAGTCATTTATTGGAGCATGGGTAACTTATCACTGGCTACACTACTGGAAAAAATTACTCCCCCACCCTTTCCTCTCTGGCCTTACATGCCTTTAGTATAGGAGTCGCAATTGTTCTAAAGCCCTAATGGGATTATTGTAGCTATTGTAGCCTAGCTACTGATGTGTGTTTAAGAACCTGAAGATAATTTAAGGTGTGGCCAAAATTCTGTGTCCTGGTTTGCAAACCTAATGCCACAAAGTAAAAGAAAAACAAAGAGAAACACTTCTCAGCTAGGTCTCTGTTTAAACACAAAAGTCTCAAGAAAATCCAGCTGAAGTGATGTCATGGCGTTCATGTTCGAGGCAGTTACAATGTTTTGTAAGAACCTGACATCTCCAGCCCTGCTCTGAAGTTCTCTGTGCTTATCAGTCAAAGCCCCTGGGCTTCTCTCCTGGAGGACACATGAGAGATGAATAAAGTTCAACTGTTTTTACTAGTTTTAAAAAGCCAAATGGGACATCTTCTTGCAAACTGCCAAACTTCCCTGCCATAACAATCCCCAGGAAACCAATTCCAAGTTTGCCAGGGCTCACAGCAGG